ATAAATCTTATATTCAATTAGAACACTTTTAAAAATAAAATAAATTTTATTTAAAAAAAAACTTATAAAATCAATTCAAAATCAATTTTATATATAAATTGTTTTTGACCATTCCAAAAAAAGAATTTATTTAGTGCTGACTATATATCTAAAGGCATTAAAACCTAATTTAGAAGAGGTCAAATCCAGGAATGTGCGCGTCAAGACAAGTCATGGATTACTAAGAGTGCTTAGCACAATTAGATATAATTGGAACATCTTATATGCATGGTGCACCAGATCACATGAGAATGACTCTAACCAACTATACTATATAAGCTCCAGCATGTTCTATTTCAGGTATTCTCTAACTCACTCACTTAAACTACTTTCTCACTCATTCATTGACTTGTGCGTTAGAGTGTTAACCTTGTATGTCCATTCCCGCATCATCGAGTCAAAAGTGAACTCCACAACACCAAAACCCAATCTCATTCAATCTCCCTATATTTATGGTTCCAGCACAAAACAATGGTGACACTTGTGGGAATCAGATGATTCTCACAAATTTCCAAGATCAACTTATATGATCCCAAGGTCAAGAAATCATCGTGATGTCACTCTAAAGAAGAAGGTGTTGTTCAATCCATTTGTTGAAGTAACCATAGATGCGTCGACTCCAAGATCACTCCCTTACCTTGTTGTCTCTTTCATCGAAATTTGATTATTTAGCAAGGAAAAAGAGAACGAAAAGAATCTATTACAAAGCTCTTCAAGATCACTGGTGGTAACTAAGAAGTGGAAAAATGACAAAAATATCTTAGGGTTTCAAAACCGCAAGAAAGTTGATTGGATTTCTTGTGACATTATGTACAATAACATATTTAACATATTAGTATAATGTGAACAAGACCTCACGTCATATGAAGGCGGGAATCTTTTAGCACTCACTGACTTTTATACTCACTCATCTGGGGCCATATAGCAGCCAGTTCCATCGAAAAAAGGAAGAAACTAGAGGACCGTCTTAGGGAGACCATTCCTCGCGGAGTTAGATATAATAACTTCTATAGTCCCTCTGAAGATAAAGTGTCATAAGGATTTTGGAAAATCGATTGTCGTTACAACCAATATATGTTGGGCCCGCCTAATACATGAAACCATAATCAAGAACCCCTTAACGGAAATGGTGTTCATGAGAAAAAAAAGAAGAAGACTCAAGGGACTACCCTTAACGTGGTCGAAATCATAGTATAAGAAGATGAAACCCTACAAGCTGATGAGCTCAACTATTTTCCAAGAGTCTGATCAAAAACCTTGAGTCTGGTTCCAAACAGAAACTTTGAAGTTATACAGCTCGATGATAATCTGAAGAGATCGATTTGGATATGGACTAATTTACCGTATATGGTCAAGAGAAGGATCATTGAATTCCTTAAAGCTAATTTCGTCCACTTCGCAATTTCTTTCGACAAGATGCCTGTCATACACCCAAGTCTGGCTTATCACCAATTAAGCATTGACCCCTCTACCTATTATGTAGTGCAACGAATAAGACGATAATCCACTAAAAATCCAGAATCGACTATGAGTACAATTCAAGGTTTGCTTGATGCCAATTTTATTTCTAAAGTAAGATATACTTAATGGTTGTCCAATGTTTTATTGTTCAAGAAATCATTGGGAAAATGAAGAATGTGTGTTGACTACACTGACCTCAACTGAGCTTGCCTGAAAGATTCATATATGTTTCCAATCATTGTCGACAATTTATTAGACGATTAAGTGGGATCAATCTCAACATCGGGGAAATGGAGAATATGTGTTATCATTCATGAATGCGTATTCCGGAAAAAAACACCCATGTTTGAAGCAGACAGAGACAAGACAACCTTCATAACTGAACAAGCTAATTATCAATACAATGTCATGCCTTTTGGCATGAAGAACAAAAGAGTAATGTACTAGATGATGAAGAAAATCTTCAAATAAGAGATATGTGAAAATTAAAAAGTTTAAGTAGACGATATGATCTTCAAGTACATGGAAGAAGGATTGCATGACAAATTCCTAGCTAGAATGTTTGATAGTACAATATGAGGCTCAACCTAGAGAAATGTACCTTAATGGTAAGAGCTGACAAATTTCTAGGTTTATACTTGGTAGAGAGAGGCATATAAGCAAACCTAAATAAATGTGAAATTGTCATTAGATGGAATCATCAACAACAAAGAAATAGGTAATGAAATTAAACAGGATGCTCACGACCCTAAACAAATTCATCTCAAGATTGGCTAAACTCACAATACCATTTTACAAGTTACTGAAGATAGAAGCACGCTTTGAGTGACCTCCGAAGTGTGAACACGTGTTTGTATATCTCAGTACAACCTTATCAACCTCATCAATGTTATTCTGACTAATGTACAAGAAATTTATGTTCATTTTCTTAGTTGTCTCACCGAAGTAGTTAGCGCCGCCCTCATGTGAGAAATGGACTCTAGTTAGAACATGATATATTTCATAACTAAGGTGCTTGCCAAAATTGAAACATGTTAAAAATATAGTGAAAGAAACTTTAGTGTTAGTGACTGCATCGAGGAAGTTATGACCTTATTTCTTGGCACATGTTTTCGTTGTTCATACACATTTACCATTAAATAAAGTTCTCCACAAGACGGGTCTAATAGGGTGGCTAACCAAGTGGTTTGTCGAGATGTCTGAGTTTAACATCTCCTTCGAGCCTAGGTTATGAAATATTATTCACATATTTCATAACAGAAATCACTTCAGGTGCACCTGAGCCAACCTATATTTGGACTGTGTTCACAAACGAGTCATTCAACAATAAACTGATATCATATTGGAAAATAAACTCATTTGAGTGATTGAAGCATCCTTGCATTTTGAATTTCCCATCATCAATAACCAAGCTGAGTATAAAGCTTTCATCGCGGGTCTTGTATTAGCATTCGAAATAAATGAGGGTAAAAACATCAGATTATAGAAAGATTCACGGTTGGTAATATCACAAGTCAAAAGAGAGACTCAGGATAAAGGCCTATTATTAGAGAAGTATGTCAACCTAACTCGATAAATATTGGTGGAGTTCAAATCTTAGGAAATCTTACATGTCCCTAAAGAGAATAATACGAGGGCACACATCAAATCTAATCTTGCTAACAACCGAGCTTTTGAAGTAAACCATTATTTCATCAAAGAAATCCTGAAGAGTCCCAACATCGAAACTCCCAAAGTTGTGATGGAAATCACGCAAAGCACCTCCCGGTCATATCTCGCCCATCACGAGATATATTAGTTGAAACCGCTTTTGTCAAGAGTAAGGAAAGTTTGTACTCAATAATAGGTGGAAATTTATATAAAAGGGGCTTGCCGACTCTTTTGTTAAAATGCCTTGAAGGAAAATAAGACATATACACCCTTTTCAAGGTACATGAAGGGATTGTCGGACAACACTTAATTGTCAAGGCTTTGGGTAAGAAGGTTCTTAGGATTGGATATAGGGTTGTGCATGGTTACCATATATTGTGATCCAATCCACTTTTATGGTTATGGTTTACAAACCAAACTATTAATTACAAAAACCGATTTGAAAGACATAATTGGTTCTAAACCGGATTAAAACCGGTTTGAAATCGGTTTGAAACCAGTTTTAATTTTAATTCAAATTATTTAAATATAATTTAATTTATATTCAATTCATTTTAATTAATAAAATTTCAAAATTAATTTAGTACTAACTTTTTAAAATATTAACAAAGCACGTTCTTAATTTAATTTTAAGCAGATTTTAAAAAATAGTCGCGCTCGTGTTGCAGTTTTTGCAATTTCGGTCGATAGAGGTGTCACAACATTGATTATGTTCATCGTGGTGTAAATTATTAATCATAATTTATTTTTTAATATAAAACAGATATAACAGTATCTGTATCGACATCTCTCCAAAACATTTTGTCGCGGCTGTTCTCACGGCCACATACCATTTTTTAAAACATTTTTATGTTTAAATGATCCTTTTTGTTTTATCAATTCTAAAAAAAAAATCAATTAATATTGAGATAGTATTAATTAATTCACTGTGCATATTCGTTTTCTTTTATACAATATATGTATATACTGAATGAAAAGGGATCAAGTTCAAATAAATTTCTTTCAAATTTAAATTTGTCTTCTACAGTAATAATAATATATCTTGCTTTTTCAATGTTTAATCTACTGTATCTTTCAATTTATTTGAAAATGTTTACATATTTTTTTAACTATAATTAAACATTTTTACATTTATTTAATAATTAATCATTTAAAATAAAATATTAAACATCATTCAATTTTTATGAAAATGTGTAGAGCTTATTTTTTTTGAGAAAGTGTGAAAAATGAAAAGCAGAAAAATGTGGATTCACAATAACCATTTTATGGGTACTGGTTTACTACTTTGATCATAAATGAGCCACCAAATTCAGTATTTAATATTTGGATTGGGTTTTAAAAAATTGAGTAATTTAGATATGAATTTGGTTATCAGTAACTTTTTACACCCCTAATTGAATATTACTAGTCATCCGCCTACGATTATTAATCCTCACATGTTATTAGGCGTAAAACAACCAGGCTTGTCATTGCCTTAGCTTTCAAATGTAGATGGCCACAATTTCATTTACATGTCAAATATTAAATGGACTATGATCTTCTTTTCCCAGCTAATTTTGTTTCTTCTGCAGCACAGGCTGGACATTGTAATCAATAGCTAAGGATATTCAATCAGAGAATCACAACCAACTAATTCTTTCTTGATGAAAAGATTCAAGCATAGCAGCACAACCAAACTGAGGAATGGCAAAACAAAAAAATTTGGAGCTATGTAATTTTTGCTGCTGACATATATCTATAATTAAATTAATAATTTCTTTTCTGACAACTCTAAATTTCCCACAACACAAATATTTAGAGAGATTGAATATAAGGACTTTTCTTGGTCACACAATCATTACAATACAATATTAAAACCTTGCAGTACTAGGACCCCAGCAATTCAACTCCATGACTTTCTTCATAGATTCTTCTTTGGTTCTTTTCACCTTGTTGGAAACAGCAGAAGAAGCAGATGATGACAATTTCTTAGCCTGAGTATATGATCTGATATTATTCTTAGCATGTTGATGAAGTGATCTAAAAGCGTAGTTCCACCTGCATACACCAAGTTGGTCTTTTAATGCCTCCACAGCTCCTATGCTTGATGCTACTACCCAAGCTTTTGTTGCAGCTGCACTCATAGTTGTATTGTAACTTTGTTGAAACTTGAAGTTGTTTTTAATGCGTGATGATGCGTTAGTGTTTATGAATTCTTATTTATATAAGGGTTAGTTGAGTGATTTTAAACTGTGGGAATTAATTACAAGCTAAACCAGTGGTTTGTAAATACAAGCAGACCAAAACTAGGGGCAGTTTCACTTTCGCCTACTGTTGCTTGTAACGGAACTATATGCAATTTTCTCAAAACCTACGCGGTGTTATATGTCTGGTTTCCTAACTTTATTCGCTGTATTGTCTATTTGATAATTTAATAGGTGACTTCATAGGAGAGAAAAGTTTGACTCTTTCGAAAATGTTTGATCACGTGCTGTCTTAAAAAATAAAAATAAATAAATAGAGGAGAGAATATACCATGTCTATTTTTTTTGGTTGCGAAAGTGTCAATTGTTTTAAAAGAAAATGAAACCATTTAAATAAGAAAGAAAAGGAGATTTTTTTTTTAATAAGTAAGGAATAGATTAAAGAGAGTATTAGGAGTATTCTAACTTGTTTATAAAAGACAACGAGCATTGTTTGGAGAAGAAAAAAATTTCAATCAACTGAAACTTAAACAAGAAAATACAGAGGATCTTTGTAAAACTGGTAAAAGTTACATTTGGTAGTAGAAATATTATTAATGTGAGCCCATTTCCAAACCAGCAACTTAATATCCCAAACTAAATCTGGAGTGCAAGCTTTGACACCTTTAAAAATAACTTCATTCCTAAGGCGCCAAATATCCAACAACACTGTCAACCAGAAGATTGAATCTTTACCCTTCTTCACTTCCTTCTTCCAACCGTCCAAAAGCCAAATGCTTAAGTTGCTCCAAATAATTCCTCCTAACTCCGATCTGAAACCACACCAAATAAAAATATCCCTCAAAATCAACTTAGAGAAGGAACACTCCAAGAATAAATGATATAAAGTTTCAACTTCTTCAGTACAAAAAACACACAAGAGATCATTAGATGGATGAATAATTCCTCTTCGAAATAAAAGGTCCCTAGTCGGGAGCCTATTTAACAAACATCTCCACCTGAAAGCTTTGATCCTAAAAGGAACAAGATATTTCCAAACAGAACAAACAACAGAAATGGTACGTTCATCATAATCTTCCAAGTTAATGAAATTGGACAGCAAATCATATCCACTCTTCATCGCATAACCGCCTACCAAATTCGGATACCACCCGACAAAATCGTCTGAGTTGTTGTTTGAAACAAAGTCTGCCACCCGTTATTGAAGATCCTCAATTCGTGGCATAATTAAGGTTGTCAGGAGCACCAAAGTTACCCCACTCCCAACCGGTTGTCGACCAGCTCCCCATCCTATCCACTCTAACATCCTTCAGGCCACTTCTATTATATAAATTTGGGAACCATCAAACAACAATTGTTTTTCCAATGAGCACTCCAGAAAGGAGTAATCAAACCACTTCCTACCGTGAAAAAGCAATTTTGAGTTAGCACGGGCTCATAAAGCTTTGATTCCAAGGATAACAAATCTTCCCACCAAGCATATTTGGGCTTTTTCGCTATAGAACTGGTACTGGACAAAGTTTGATGTTGCAAATTCCCGTATCTGGCCTTCAAAATATCCATCCAAAGAGCTTTAGTACCCTTTAAAATATTCCAGTTCCATTTAAACAATAAAGCCACATTAAAAGTTTGAAACTCTTGAAGCCTAATCCTCATTTCTCGAGAGGAGAATAAAGATAATCCCAACACAACCAATTAATCTTCTTTTTATCAACATAACCTCCCCAAAGAAAAATATTCTGAATCTGTTTAATAGTTTTGAAAACCTTCATCGGAGCTTTGAAGAATGATTGGAAAATGGAAAGACTAGATAAAACTGATTTCACCAACGTAATTATGCCACCTAAACAAAGAAACCTCCCTTTCTAAGACTCTAAATGATCCTTAATCCTCACAATCAAAGGATTCCACCAAGAAATCCTTCTAACCTGCAAGAAAAAAAATTAGTAGCAGCCAGAAAGAAATACGGACTCAGGTTAAAACATATAAGCCTACTCTTGTGGAAATTAACGCCAAGCCCCGATACTCATTTGAATCCTCTCAACACTGCCTTAAGAACCCACTCCTATTTCCAATTCCCATTACCTACTAAAAGCATATCATCAGCAAATTGTAAAATTCAACAACACATTTTCTCTCCAATGAAAAACCCGAAAATCCATTCATAAGGACCACTTGACTAATTAACCTAGATAATTCTTATGCAATGATAACAAATAAAAACAGAGAGAGCGAATCTCCTTGCCTTAAACCCCTACCCACCTTAAAATCTTTAGTAGGGCTACCCTTAACGAGAACCGGCATCCAACTCGAGACACTACAAGAAAACAACACATTAGCGTCGGTCTGAAACCCTCGCTAAAAGCATAAAAACTGACGCTAACTGGCTTTAGCGATGGTTTCAGGGCAGTCACCAAAGATCAAATCTAACAATAGCTTGAGACCGACGCTAAATTAGTGTTAGTTATGGTTAATGCTAAAGGGACACTATCCATGGTCCATAGGTCTACATTTATACAACTTTAGCGTCAGCTTGGGGCGACGCTAATGTATGACACGTGGTTATATGTGATTGGGTAACGCCAATACATAAACATTACATGTCATCCATAGCATCGGATTTTTGCGCTGCTACAGAATTCCACTTGGTCGCTTATGATTGGGTAACTCCCAGAATAAGATTTTGCCTTCCAAAAATAGTGTCCATTGAAGCCGACGCTAAAATAATATTTTTTAATTTATTTTTTATCAACCCATTTTTTATTACACCTATAAATTATAAAATATGATACAATACTATTAGTAAACATAATTTAACTGTTTTGAAATAAAAGCAATAAATTTTCAAGTACATCAATAAATTGCAAAATATGATACAATACTCATAAAATCTTCATGGTGATACAAAACTGATAAATTTTTATACTGATACAATACTGATAAATCTTCACAGTGATACAATACTTATAACACAATTCTATAATCAAAAGAGTTTACTTATACATGCTAAGGTAATACCAAAATAAGTATATTTATAAGGCAAACTATACATAAGGCAATCATAAGACAATTTAGACATAAAACAAATCTACTGATCATGATCATCATCAGCATCATCTTTCTCATCCTCTTACAACATTTAAAAACACTATAAAAGTTAGCAGGAACTCTAGTTCCAGTCAGCTATCAGATTAGCCAAAATAACATTCCAATCTTTAAATAAAAGAGATTTTTTTTTAATTTAAAAATCATAAATAAAAGTATAATAATGGTTTAGTTCACAATTAGAGAGAGGGAGAGAAAGAGAGAGAGGAAATAATGGCTGGTTCTTAGTCTTCTGAATACTTCGTCCTGCACTCCCTTCGTCATGATGTCTGCAATCTGATTTTCAGTTCTGCAATGTTCCAAATTCATCTTCCCATCTGCTACCTGCTCTCAAACATAATGAAACCTCATTTCTATGTGCTTGCTTTGACTATATGGTATCGGGTTCTTCGCCAGATTGATAGCTGACATGTTATCGATCTTCATGGTAATTGCTCCACGATCTTTCCCTGTTATCTCTTCGACTAAGTTCACCATCCAAGTTGCTTGACATGCACAAAGAGAAGCAGTTGCGTATTCTGCTTCGCATGATGATAATGTCACTACTGATTCCTTTCTTGAACTCTAAGCAACTGGTGCACCACCTAACATAAACACATATCCTACTATTGATTTTTGATCTTCAGCATCACTACACCAACTCGAATTAGTGTATCCCACTAACTTGCATTCTTTTCCTTTATCAGCTGCAGGAAACAAAATGCCATAGTCGAGAGATCCTTTGAGATACCTTAGTATCCTCTTCACCCCTGCTAGATGTGATACCTTTGGCTTTTGAATGAATCTACTTACCATACCTACACTATATGATAAGGCAGGCCTTATATGACAAAGGTATCTCAATGACCCAATAAGTCTTCTGTATTGGGTTGAGTTGACATCATCTTCATCTGCATATTTCGACAATTGCAGTCTTGATTCTGCAGGTGTCGAAGTTGAGTTGCATTCTTCTATCTCAAATCTCTTGAGAATTTCTCCTGCATATCTTCTTTGATGCATCATCAAACCTCTACTGCTCTTGTAGAATTCGATGCAAAGGAAATATGAAATCTCACCCAGATTAGACATTTCGAATTCCTTGTTGAGATCACCTTTGAAGTCTTTGATCTCACTTTTGCAGCTACCTGTTATCAATAAATCATTGACATAGAGATACATTATAATCAATTCACTATTGCTTCTTCTTACACATACTCCATGTTCAGTTGTGCACTTCATAAATTCCTTGTCCCTTAGGAAACTATCAATTTTCTTATTCCAAGCTCTTGGAGCTTGTTTCAATCCATATAGGGCTTTATGCAGCCTGTACACCTTTCTTTCTTCGTCATGTTTCACAAACCCAACTGGTTGTTTAACATAAACTTCTTCGTCTAAGGGTCTATTCAGGAATGCACACTTCACGTCCATCTGACATATGTGCCATCTGTTTATTTATGCTAGACCAACAACCAACCTGATTGTTTTTATCCTAGCAACGGGTGCAAAAACTTCATCGAAGTCTATTCCTTCTTTCTGTAGAAATCCTTTTACCACAAGCCTTGCTTTGTGTCGAGTTACTTACCCTTTAGAATTCATCTTCACTTTGTATACACACTTGACATCAATTGCCTTCTTTCCTTGAGGCAATTCGCCAAGTGACCGAGTGTTGTTGTCTTCGATAGACTTCACTTCTCCGTTCATTGCTTTCACCCACTTCGAATCCTTCAATGCTTTAGCTGCATTGACAGGTTAGACATCCACATAGAAAGCATAATGTATTAACTCACCTTCATTATCTATCACATCATCTGATGTAACCACACAATCTTGCAATCTTGCATGCACGCATCTTGTTC